TATTTTCATGTTTCAAAGAGGTATTGAATAATGAAACACAAATTGCTAGCATGCACTGGATTATGGAGAAAGCCAGAGAGTTCCAGAAAAAACATCTACTTCTGCTTCATTGACTATGCAAAAGCCTTCGCCTCTGTGGACAGCAAACTATGCCAAGTCCTTAAAGGAATGGGAGTGCCTGACCACCTTATCCATCTCCCGAGAAATCTATATGTGGGACAGGAAGCAACAGTTAGAACTGGATATGGAACAACTGATTGGTTCAAAATTGGGAAAGGGGTAAGAAAAGGCTGTATATTGTCTCCTTGCTTATTTAACTTATACGCAGAATACATCATGCAAAAGGCTGCACTGGAGGAATCCCAAACTGGAATTAAGATTGCCGGAAGAAATATCAACAACCTCCCGATATACAGATGATACCACTCTGATGGCAGAAAGTGAGGAGGAATTAAAAAACCTCTTAATGAGGGTGAAAGAGGGGAGTGCCAAAAATGGTTTGAAGCTCAACATCAAAAAAACTAAGATCATCACCTCCTGGCAAATAGAAGGGGAAGATATAGAGGCAGTGACAGATTTTACTCTCTCGGGCTCGATAATCACTGCAGATGGTGACAGCAGCCACAAAATTAAAAGACGCCTGCTTCTTGGGAGGAAAGTGATGACAAATCTTGACAGCATCTTAAAAAGCAGAGACATCACCTTGCTGATAAAAGTCTGCATAGTCCAAGCTATGATTTTTCCTGTTGTGATGTATGGAAGTGAGCGCTGGACCATGAAGAAAGCTTACCGCTGAAGAATTGATGCTTTTGAATTGTGGTGCTGGAGGAGACTCTTGAGAGTCCCTGGACTGCAAGGAGAACAAACCTATCCATTCTAAAGGAAATCAACCCTGAGTGCTCACTGGAAGGACAGATCCTGAAGCTGAGGCTCCAATACTTTGGCCGTCTCATGAGAAGACTCCTTGGAAAAGACCATGATGTTGGGAAAGTGTGAGGGCAAGAGGAAAAGGGGACGTCAGATGATGAGATGGGTGGACAGTGTCATCGAAGCTACCAACATGAACTTGACCCAACTCCGGGAGGCAGTGGAAGAAAGGAGGGCCTAGCGTGCTCTGGTCCATGGGGTCACGAAGAGTCGGACACAAGTAAGCAACTAAACAACAATAACAACATTTATCATGGCTTAGGATGATGGACCTTGCAGGTCAAGTTTGGATAATAATGATCAAACACTGATTGTACTGATGAAGTAAAATCAATGCACTGATGAAGTACAATTAACCCAAACTACTAAAAACTGGAATTAAAACATATTAAAATAGGAATTTTCATATTGTTGTAGGGAAATTTAGTGGGGGAAAGTAACTGGAGAAAAAAGTGAACTGCTAAAGACTGAATACAACACATGAAACTGCAAGCTCTGCTTGTCTTAATGTTTAGGAGATACAGTCAATTGGGCTGTTGTGAAACAGAGATGCACATGAATTGAAAAAATAGCCACTTCTCATGATTCACAATTCGAGGTAAATGAACCATGAATTTTTTTCCTGAATTAATCCATTTGTTGATCTGTCTTGACTTTAAAACCCTATAAAACGTCCCGCCAGACACCTAGAAACACCAAAATTACAGAGAAGTTTCCTCTGACTCTCCTCTACAAGTCCTGCAATGTTGGTTAAGTGTGGGTTTCAGATGTTCGAGGTAGACAACAACAAAGAGGGCCTCCCGAGGAAAGTTCCCCCCGGCACTTAGAGATACCAAAATTGCCAAGAAAGATCTCCCCACTTTCCTCTACAGTCCCTCCAGGTTTGGTGAAGACTGGGTTCTGGACATTCAAGTTATATACCCACAAAGTGGGTCCTTCCCCAGGGAAGTGCCCTTTAGCTTAGGGAAAACCTAATCTCCAACTTGGAAGGATTGTAGAGGAGAGTCAGGGGAAACTCCTCTGCAATTTTGGTGTCTCTAGCTGCTGGGAGAGGGGGAAATGTTATAGCTTAACCAATAAAAATCACTAAAAATTCTTCAATTCATATTCTTCAGGGGCTTTGTGTCTGATGAATACGAATCAACAAATTAGCGATTTTTGCCAAATTTCGCAATTCATTTTTTAATTCATGCCCATCTCGAATCACAGCTAAAGTGTTGGAGAGTGCACAGAGCGGAATGAACCTGCCCTTGTGCAATGTGGCACTGAAGACTGACTGTTCTAGAAGCCTTATAGATACTGCTGACAGCGATTACCTGTAACAGTGAAAGAACAATCAAAAGAATTGGTGATGCATCAGCAGAACGTCTGTAGATGAAGTTCGCTAGTGCAATTTTACAGTCCATGCCTATAGGCCCTCTTTTTTTTTTTTTTAAGTAAATGTCACTAGAATCTCCAAGTTTTTTTGAAAAAAGAAACTGTTTCCAACAATACAAGAGATCTGTCAAAACTGAGATTCTGGAATAATTAAAAACAGTCTATCAAAATACTCTGAAAGGGCTTCCCTTGTATTCCCCTATTTCTCTCTCCTTCTCTCAGTTTGTTTTGTTTTTGGCCTTTTGGCCTTTATTGCACAAATAAATCATAACAAAAATATTTGACCCAAAAGAATATACAGGGGTCTTCCTAGAATGCTTAGTTTAGAATTTACTACCATGAGAGGATCAATTCTTTGGAGTGTTTATTTGGTTTCAAAAGAAACTGTAAAATTCTTTTCAGTTTAGCACATTAGTTACTTTGGGTATTCTGAGAAAATTCCCCTGCTCTGACTTTCATATCCTTTTAAAATCTCTTTTACAATATGTTTTTAGAACTCCCATGTCACTATATTTTATCATCTACAGGTATAGATTAAATTTTAATCCTTTTTAATCATTAAAAAGACTAAAAATATTGCTAAAACCTACAAAGAGATTTCCACGGCTATATAAAGATTTCTTTGACAAACGTTTCAAGTATTATTTATTCAAGTATGTGTTGTGTCTCATTATCCCTATTATTTATTGAAATGCTTATACTTAAGGAATTTGATTCAATTTTTTATGGAGGTTGTGTTGTTTATTAACAGAACTAAATTTAAATTTTATTGATAACCTCTTGTAGCCTTCTAACAGAATTTCATTTTTGTTTGGTTGTTCTTTCTGTATTATTATGGAAAGAATTTAATGCTGGGCTTTTGCTGGTGGAATAGTGGAATCCAGCAGAAACCTTGCCACTGCACTCCCCTAGATATCTCTGATTTCCAGACAGCTCTCAGGGTTTCAGACAGGAGCGAAGGCTAGTTCCATGTTGGATTTAATTCTGTATTTAGTTCAACATACGATTATGTACAGAATTAGGTTTTCTTCTGGAAAAGAAAGAGGCTAAAACTTCAAACTGAACAAAAATACTTATTCTTTATTAGGGGGAATACGTTCTGAATAGATGGGTTACATTTCTAATTCTTGGATTGTCTTCTCATGTCAGTGACCTGCACTTTTCAATTTTTTGTATTAAATATTTATTTATATTGGCTGAATATCTCAGTGAGATAGGGTTAGGAGTTTGATAACCCAGTATGTATCCTGGGATAAGAGCCAGCCTGTGCAGCCTTGGGCAAGCTGCACAATCTCAAAGTGCCCCCAGAAGAAGGGAACTGTAAACCAAAAAACTCTAGAAAACCTTGGAAAAGGTCAACAGAACAGACTTAATGGCATGCAATTATTTATACAGTGTGACGTAGTGAACAGAATGACAGACTAGGATTTAGGAGACCTGAGTCTGAATCTCTTCTTGGTCATGGAAATTCACTTGGGAGTGAAACTAGTAAAACCACTTTTTAAATATTGTAATTACCTTGAGAGCCCTACTAGAGTAGCTACTGGAGGATTCCAACTTGATAGCATACAACAACAAATTAGATGTTTAAATCACTTATGACAACTGGCATATAATGTTTTAATACCATGTCACTCTGTGTAATGTCTGATATCTCTTTATGTCCCATGAATTTTGATTATTTTTGTGTGAATATATTTGGTTCACCCTTCCTCTTTTATAATTTATTTCCTGGGATCACAAAGTGGCAAGACAGTGATGAGTGATGCTGATGTCTGCTATTTGCTTTTCAGTTTCAAAGTATTAATGAACACCATCATATCTCTGTAGTATACCAAGTGCAGGAAGTACAGAAAGATGTCAGGAGCAGGGGACACTATGTCACTCAAGTTAGAGAACACTTGCACAAACACAGTTTCAATACCAAATACAATCAAAAATTAAATAGTGCTGGTGCAATTCTACTGATGCAGTACTATTACTATTATCATTCACCATTGCTTCTTCTTGAATTGTAATTCATTCTTCTCCCATACCATCCATAGGAAGAATATCAGCAAAGCAGAATAAGTAAAAAAATACAAAACCAAGAATGGATTGGAGAAGAAACATAACAAGGACAACTTCAATATTGTTATAAGAAAGGGGATATTTAACAGATTGTGACTTACAATCCTAACACTATATAACCCAACTATTATTGGAACTTTGTTTAGGACAACAACATGTATACTTCTTCACTCAGTAGGAAGTGAAATGAGCTAGAAATGTAGGCAATACAAAAATGTAGCACATTATTACAGGAGGAAGCTACTTCTCATAAACACTAAAGCTGTACTGTTTTAACTGTTCCTTAGCATGGGAAGCAAGGAAACTATATATAGATAAATGATTAATATAATGTTCTTTTTGAACTACTTGGTTTCCCAAATAATTGTTAATAAATTTTAAAAGGTAAGAGAAACAGTTAAATGTTGTTAACATTTCCTAGTGCAAGAATGTGATAAGAATTATACTTACTTCAAGATAAGGGTAGGTGGGACACAACCTAAGTTTAGTTAGAATAATAACCAGTTTTGCACTCTGTGTCCATCATGTGTTACAATTCTATGTTACTGAAAACAACAGAATAATGAACACAGCAGATGGGTGAAAATTAATCTTGTTTCTTTTCTTTTTTTAAAGAAGAGTCTAACCTGAGTTCTGTTAAATGCCACACGTGCAAAAACTGCCTGCGAGATTCCTGCTCGTTTCAATTCATCACGCACCCACTGGTAGATTTCGGAAGACACCTCTGTGTTCGTTGAGACCTGCTGCTCCAACGGCTTGTTCATGGATCTGCTGACAGGAGGAGGATGGTTCAAGTACTGCTGATTTAAGGACTGTTGGGCTAGAAGTCTGTTCACTGCATACTGCTGGTTTAACAGCTGGGCCATTACAAGCTGCTGATTTACCAACTGAGGACTAATGGGAGTAGATACAAGTCCAGGGTGCAGGTTTGGAAGAGGGGTCCGAACAGATGGTTGACTGCTATGAGAAAGCTGAACAGGGGATGGAGGCTGTTCAGCTGTGTTCCCTGGGACTGGCTGGTGACCAAAGTTGACATGGTTGGCACCTTGTTGTGATAGTTCAGAAAGGCTATCCATTTCCGCTACAGAGGGAAAACAAGAAATATTATTTACCTAGATGAAATGGTTTACTGGTATGTATCAAACAGGAGAGTTCAACATTTTTATTCTGTTTAATTTAGGGGATCCTAACAATGCAACATCATTAGTATTTGTTCAGACATTTCTAGCAAACGCAAATAAGTTTAGGAAAACCATTTCTTTTTCTAAGAGCAGATGATTTTAACATCATATAGCTTACTTGAAACTAACGTCTTGGGTAGAGGAGAGGAGGTAAAACATCTGAAACATTTACCCTGGTACCAAATCTGTATTTTAGCATATGAGAGGTTACAAGTTCAGCCATAAGGAAGGGACCAGGTCAAATGGAGTCAGATGCATAATACAGTGGAACCTCGACTTATGAACGTCTCTAGTTACTAATATTTCGATGTACGAACAGCTCCGTCCACAAAAATCGGCACTGACTTGCAAAAAGCCCTAATGTTTTGGAGTAAAAATTAATATAAGACCCTGTCTTATTTTCGGGGAAACATGGTAAGTTACATTGCTTCACACCTGTATTTTATGACATCACTGGGAACATATTTTTTTTGTTCAGCTCTGCATGTGACTGGTCCCCAGGATGCATTATTCTTCCACTACTTTTTTAATATCTTGAAATTACTTAAACAGTGCTGTTCTTGCAAATGATTAACCAGGGGCACAGAGACTGTGTCTAAAGAATTTAGGACAAAATTGGTATCTCAAATGTACTACCATGACACTTCTGGTCAAATATAATCTAATTATCTTTAACATATTAATTTATTTTTAATTTGACCTATATTTGATATGTGTCTATAATTTTAAATTGTGCAATGCTTTAATATAAAGGATGAACGAAAAGACTTGTGCATATCACTTACTTTAGGACTATTTGGATCAGAGGGTGGGGTGCATTTAGACATAGTCATAGTTAGAAGACAGCTGTTGAAATCAATGTCACCTACATTAATTATGATTAACTTAACTCTTACTGATTTTAATGGGTCTAGTCTTAAATATGACTAAGGCTGACTCCAACTTCATTTACAGACAGCCACCATAGGAATTATGCAACTTCATCAATAGACAATGTCAATAAAAAGCGCACTAAAGCTGGAATTACCACTAAAGTGGTAATTAGTAATTCTGCTAAGAACTGTTTTTTATATTTTGCATTTAGTAAACACGCTATGTGTTTTAGTAAACCCTTTAATGTGTAAGAAATCTTTGTTACAAAGATGCAGGGTGAACTGTCGTAAATACATATAGTAAAAAAAATTCTATGCTTTCTTTTTGTTCTTCTTAGAGAAACCATGAATTAAAAATACAGCAGATTCCATCATTCTTGAATCCAAAGAGACAATTTTCTGATTGTCACAAATGTTATGCACAGTGACGATTATAAATAAGTATGATGAGCATTAAATAGGCTAGCGTGTTGGGAAATGTATCATCCTCTACATACTGTTCCACTTCAACTGTTTCAGCACATTTCAACTGTTTCGGCACCAGTTAGCATCACCAGTTGTCACAAGTGATGAGAATCGTACTGCAAAAACGTCTGAAGAGAAACATGTTCATTGCACTCAGGTGTAAACTGGCTTGGTTTTTAAAAACTAAATTGAAATATTTAATACAAAGTAAATTTAAAATTTTTATTTCTAAAATTGTGAGAAAGTTTGTGGGTGGCAGTATGTCAGTGTTAATGAATAGTGATTTTAAAAAACAGGTATTTGAAACATTTAAGCATTAGCAACAGCATAATTTCCTACTTCCTCTCTGTACTTTACAAAATTTGTAACAGAACATAACTCTTTGATAGCTGTCATAGAGATTTTGTTAGATTAGAGACCCATATTTCAAGAATTAAAAATAAAGTTATGTGTTAAATGATAAGTATGTAGTTACCACTACTTCAGCTCTCATCTTTCTGCTTACCCATCATATCTTTTGCCTTCTTGAAATGTTTATACCACCTCCCAAATTCCTGACATTTTGCTGCTGAAACATTTGCATAGTAAGTGCTGTTCACAATGGAAGAAATCATACTCTGAAAAGAGAAAGGGAAAACATCTGTATTATTGAAATATTCAACAAAGAAGTTATTTTAATTATTTCTTGGGCAATATTTTTAATCTCAAATCAATACTGAATATAGTTTTTAGATTTCTGGCATTTATACTTGCTCACTTGACAGCAATATTAGTGTAGTATCCCAGACAGAGATTTATATAATATCAATTTATGACATACATATATTCCATCATACCGTATGGACTGCTTTTCCATAGACATCCACTGAAATCAAGGATTCGGTTTATCATATTCCTTTTATCATTTCACCATGAAACCTAAATCCTCTCTGTAAATATTTTTCTCATGTATTCATGGGATGTAATCTCTCTAATATGTTTATATTATTTTATTATTTATACATACCCCTTTCTCTGCTGATCTATTTGAGTTTTCAGAATCAAAGAGAAGATAATCCTTTATACACACGAGAAAAATAAGTTTATAATATTAAAGTTGGTACTTAATGAAGCAATTATATAGTGTACTTCTAAAATATATTTTTCACATGCCTATTCTACCAGGTACTAGAGCCTGGGGGAACAATTCTCTTAAACTTTCTACTGCCCTTCTGACCTGAGCCACCCATGAGACAGCAAAAATTGTTTGTAATTTTCAACTCCAGCTCTTCTTGTCCAATATTTCAGTAACTGGTTGATGCACAGTAGATTTGACCTCACATCCCTAAAGTTATATGCGACAAAGGCACCTAGATTGATCTAACAAAATAATCCCAAGCAACTGGTTTGGTTTTACTGAAGATCTGTCTTGTTTTTACTGTAACTTGACAGATGGACTGCCAAAAATCCAAATAAAGGGATTCGAGAACAAATTATTTATTTATTTATTTATTTTATTTATATCCCGCCTCTCTGGTCATTGCGACCACTCTAGGCGGCTTACAACACATAATGCGACAATAAATATAAAAATGAATTATTACACTAAATAGCCAATTCTTCAAGATGGAGAAAAAATGACAAATTAATCGTAAACTCTCACTAAAAGTGACAAAGATTAAACTGAGGTGATCCTACTTTGAGTTTATCATGAGAAGACAAGACTAAGTGGAAAAGGCAATAATGTTAGGAAAGTGGAAAGCAGTTGGAAAAAAGGGAAGATGAAACCTGAGATGGATTGACTAAGGAAAGGAATGACATAGTCTTTAACCTGCAAGACCTGAGCAGGACTGTTAAATGACAGGATGTCTTGAAGGTCATTAATTCAGAGTCACTACAAGTCAGAACCAACCTGATGGCCCATAAAACAACGATGATGACAGATGACTACCAGGCTTGTTATCTTGTGCTAAAATTAGTACTGTACAGGAAAGACCGTTAAAAGATAAATGTTTTTAACTCTTTAGAAGGCAATTTCAAATGAAGGATAGATGTTATACATGTACTATCTTCACATCATACAATCACTAAATGAATACAGATCTATAATTTATTTAAATAGGAGAAGGCAACGTGTGGCCCACCGGATGTTGTCGAAACTGCAAAATCTATCTTCCTTCAATACAAACTTCACTGGCTAGAGTTTATGTGAGAGCCACAATTTGGCCGCTCCTGATTAAAATATTAACTCAACTTTTTCTTTATCGTCATTTAACAGTCTTTGGCCAAAAATCTATTAGTGTTAGCACAAGGTGTGCATAACTCGTCACTGTTTGATGCAGCTAAATGATGAGGTGTTCAGATGTGTCTCAGTTGTATTCCTTGTCATGTGTGTCTGTTTGTGCCATTGAGATGTACTCTAGCACCTTGTCAATTAGTTCCACTTAGCTACAGCAACTTATGCAAACCTTATGCGAAAATTAGCTGGATTCTATCCACTAATTTGCCATCTTTCACTTGTATCAGTCTGAAAATTAATTAATTAACTTGAAGCAAAAAAAACTTCTGTTGAGGTTTAGAGCTATTTTCATTTAATTGTCTATATCCTGAAATAATGTATAAGTACATAGGAAAAATCCTAATGAAAAATACAGGATGCCACAGTATTAATAAGTTTATTGTTTGACCTTCCTTGGAGAAGAGAACCTGAAATAACATTTTAACAATCAACTTGAATAGCTTACACAGTTTCTTGCAAGGTTACTTGAACTTGTGAGTCTGAAGATCCTAAAAGTACCCAAACATACGCATGCAAAGTACTTATAGTTCTTTTTCTGAGTCTGATGAAGATCTGATCTGAAATGGTGCCACCTCTGCAAAAGCCCCACTACACTGGGATGATACCATCTGCCAGTCTGTGCCTTATTTCCCAGCCAAATGCATTATTTATAATTATCTCTTCTATAACTGTGTAGTAATAGGGATGGGATTTTTTTTTCCCCCTGTAAAGTTCATTTCTGGTTCACTGAGACAGCTTTCACATATATTCTATATTCTGAATCCTGCCCTCTCATTAGGTGGGAAAGGTGGTATCAAAGTCATTTCGTATAAATTGTGCAATTTAAAGGGAAAAAATGTTCCCAGCAATCTGTCTGTATTTATATTGGGTATGCCTAGAAGACATGCAGAAACGTTTCTCTTTACTTGTGAGAAAGGTTTTTGTATTCCGTCTGTTCTTCAACTTTAAGATGGCCTTTCTTGAACTATGACCTGTAGACTCCGATCAGAAATGGCTTGTGGTTAAAAATGCATTGTTGTTCTTCTCTCAAGGTAACAAAACACAACATTAATCAAGCTAGTTCAATCATCTAAACCAAAACTGCTCATGCTTTGCCGCCAAATCAACCAGCCACTACAAAATCTGTTATCTGTGATTGTTCAGCTTCAGGTCAGAAAACCACTTATCCTACACTGTCCCCGAATCCCTCTCCATCATCTTTAATGTTCATACCTTAAGTATTATTCCTACATATCTGTACTGAAGTCTATGAATAGCTTCATCAAAGAAGATAGACACTACAATGTTTATGAAGAATATGATAACTGACCTAGGAGGCAACACCGGAGAAAGATATTCTCTAAGCCAGTCCCAGGAACATAGATATATTTAGGGTTGTTTTCATGTGTGAATTTTTTCAAAGTATCATCTGTAAAACTTTCACAGTCCTTCCTGATTATTCAAAATACAAAGGGAAAAAAAGATGCGTTTATACAACTGTCTTATCCATGTTGAAAGCTTTCAAGCTCGATCAGCAGAGGGGGCAAGGGCTGCAACAACTTATTTACACAATTATCTAAATACGATTAAACAGCTGATGGACAAATATTAAACTGGAAAATGTATAGTCATTTCAGCTTAATGTAATCCTCTTTCTGTAAACACCCAAGATGATTTTTCACCAACTAGAACAGTACTGACATCTCATAAGCCTAAGGGTGAATAGCAAGAGATTGTTTTTGATAGTTATAAATATTCAAAAGACATGCAGACCATCTGCTTTCATAATACAGGTAAAGCAAGACTGAAATGGTGACTGCTGTACAAAAATGATTCTTTTAACAGAGTCTTCTTCTTGGAAACTATAAAGACAGATGTCAAAAAATGTTTATAATGAGTAATCAGGAGTATGCAAGATGCAATGTTCCTTTTACACAGGTGAATAGTTCCTCTTCTTTCTTCCCATCTGTGTGTTGTAATGCATTTTTAAGAGTTTAAAACATTTTTTTAAATGAGATCTCGCCAATGCATTAAAGATGATGTCAGGATTAAGAATGCTAATTAATTTTAGCCAAGGTTCCCACCTCACTGAAGACATACTATGATATGAAATGTCTTGCTCTAGGTGGAAGATGTTGGAAGAATTAACCGAGGTTAAATCTACACTATTCTGCCACTCACAGTTTCAACACTTTGCACATAAGTCAGCATCTGTCAAATCAGGTCTCCTGTAAGCAGACGAAGTCTAATTTTCCTTTTATTTTCAAATCTGGTTTTATTTATGCTTTAACATTAATCACACTCTTCACGAGAAGGCTTATAACAGCATAATGATTTTGTCAAGTGGCAAGTTAAAAGATACCTTATCTTCTGGGGCAGAATATAAAGAGCGCTGCCCATAAACTCTTACAGTCAATTTTCAGAAATGAAACATTATCTTGACAGTAACATTTTTAATGTATCATATTAATGACACAGCAGTGTTAAGCAGCACCTTATTTTTTAAAATTCCCAATAAAAGGTACATTTGCTGAATAATCTGTCAAACGTCTGGTTACTTTTCCTGTCTCCCAAATGAATTCTTAAAGGCTATTTCTTTCTCTATTGTATATTGTCTTTGATACTTTTATCTCACCAAGGGGCTAACAGCTATTTCACACGTTACAGCTTCCCATTCCAGAATTAGTCTCCACACTAGGAAGTCACTACTGATTTTAGATTCACAAGTAAGTTCCTTTGAGATACAAAAGAACTTCCTGTCTCCACAAGCAGCTGCTATGTTCTCGTATAAGAGTGAGAAACAAGTCACAAGGCCAGCTCTAATTATGGCTTCCCATGACATTTGAACTGACAACCAAAGGTTCCAAACAAAGTGGGTACAAAACCATGTGGTGAACTGCTTTCAGATGAACTGGGATATGAAGGTATTATTTTAATCATGCCTTTCACATCCTGATTTTCTTGGAAACCAATAACTGTAGGTTCCTGGTTAAGATGTTAAAGGAAGGTATAGCTAATGGTGACATCCTGACTTGTTCCCTCAACTCAAACAAAAGAAGGGAAAAAGCACCTATGTAAAAGTATAGGATGCTTGTTTGTATACCGCCTTTGACAAACAACTATACAAGTGCATAAAAATAACCAATCTCTTAACTTCTATTATGCAGCTAACATCAATATTATGATTTAAAAAACTCTAACTTTATTCAAAACAAATTGCTGCATGGTACCTGTATCTTAAAAATGTTCCTTCTGAAGGATGCAGAAAGTTGAACTCAACAAGACATATATTCTAATAGCTCAGAAGAAGGCTAGTTTGTCAACAACAAACTATAGATAGGTGGTTTCCAAGTCCTAGGC